CTCATCAAAGCTTCGTAGTATTAGGTTGGTTTTGTGGAGTATGTGGGGAGGTTCCAGTGCGGAGCATCTGACAAACCTCAGAAGAGCTCCCCGGAGGCGGCTAGAGGCTATCATCCTTCAGGAACTTATTTAGCTTCTTCAAACAATCGATTCCTACCTAAAAAAACAGGGAGCTTTTCTCCCTTTTCCAAAATGACAGATATCAATTTCGCCTTCGCAGGTAACTGTAGTTAAGTTCTGAAAGAGTAAAATCCAAATTCCTAAGCTTGAAATCTAAGTTTTTCCGCAGCCTTGCCCCAACCTACCTGCCCGGACTTGTCGTTTACTGTTACTGCCTCTCACGCATCCTGTATCTCGGCGAAGCTATTCCCAACTCCCAGCCCTTTTCTCTGTAAGCACCCTCCCTCAGAGAGAAGGGATATCTTCCTTCTCTGGGCTCCCGCTAGGAGCTTTCTATCTTGATTTAGGGTTATTTACACATACTTCTCATCTCCTCCTCAAAGCATAAGCTCTTAGAGGGCAAGTTTATGATTTGCTTATCTCGGAAAATCTACTACTGCGTTTTATACATAATCCCTTAATATATGGTCATAAGAGGTAACATGGGATAGCCAGAGGTACTGGGACTCTAGGACAAGAAAACCTGACTTAGGGCTGGGCACAGTGGATCACACCTGCAATCCCAGTACTTTGGGAGGCCAAGGTGGGAGGATTGCTTGAGGACAAAAGTTTGAGAGGAACCTGGGCAACACAGTGAGACCCCCATCTCTACAAAAAATAAAAGAAAAAGAAAGAAAGAAAAATTATCCGGGCGTAGTGGCACACGCCTATAGTCCCAACTACTCAGAAGGCTGAGGCAGGAGGATCACTTGAGTCTTGGGGTTTGAGACTGCTGTGAGCTATGATACCACTGTACTCTAGCCCCGGCAATAGAGACTTTGTCTCAAAAAAAAAAAAAACGAAGAAGAAATAAAAGAAAAAGAAAACCTGACTTAAATCATCCTTAATCAAACTACTAAAGCCTCAGTACTCATTTTTGCAAATTGTGTATATACCATTTACCTCTCTCAGAAGTAGTAAGCATCAAATTAAATAACATATGGGAATGTACCTTCTAAATTATCAAATGCTTTTTTATAATTATTCAGTCAGTGCTAATGGAACATGAGTCTTTTGTAACTCCTCAGAGAAAGCAGCATCCCATAAACCAAATGTGTTACTTTAGCAATCATGACTGCTTGTCAGTGTCTCCACAAGTAAGTTATGCCAAGTGACAGTAATACTGTATTTGAAATATTCTAGTTGTGACAACATGAATTCATATGTTCTTCTTGTTGGAGGAACTTAAGGCTTTATAAACAACTTAGAAATCCCAGAAGGTCATCTTCATTATATCCCCATGAAATGTTAAGAATCCACTAAAACAACAGTGGTGAACCTGCTAGCCCACCCAACTAGGGACATATTTCCATTTTTTAAAAAGGGAGGGAGGTAGAGTTCATTCAGACTGCCACCAAAAAAGTCATTATAATTAGAAATCTGCTTTATAGGAAACACCATTTGATATAAATATTCTGTTACATCATACCAGTATCTCCACTGATAAAAATGAGTTTCTTCTAGAATATTAGACTACTTCCCTTGGATATCATCTTCAATTGGGCCTCACTTTTAGATTCATATTAAGTGGAGGTTATATTTACTATTTCTCCCACTGAATACTCAAGAATAGAGACTATGTGCTTACTAGTCACGGGAAAAGGGCCTGCTGCCTCTCACATCTGCATGCCCCCGGCTCATAGTCACCACGCACCAGAAGATCAACACAGAAGCAGCACGAACGAAGGAGCCTGCTATAGAACTACCCCAAATATCTATTAGTCCCCACACTGTATGGATGAGCTGAGCTGGGCCTGGAGGAGATACAGATCCAGGACACGCCCGATGGCCATACTGAAGCCAGGATTGGAACCCAGGTTTGCTGGAATCTCAGCTGCTTTCTCTCTCTCTCTGTTATACGGTCTGACCTTTCCATAAGACCTAACTCCATGAACTCCTTCACCTCGTCCCTCCCATACATCATGGCCAGACTCCAGGGAGATAAGGAAACAGCTGACATAAGGAGACCTAGGTTCTAGTCTCAGCTAACTCACTTGCTGTGTAACTAAGGCAAGCTCACTTAACCCTCTACTTAAATTTCCTTATTAAAAAAATGGTGACAATAATATCTGTTCTACTTCCTTCAAAAACAAAACTATAAATCACAATGTCCAAAATTATTTCTGTTGCTCTGATTATCAAAATGCATTATGTAATTAAAGTGCCTCAACTAGGAAGTCCATATGATTTTCCTTGTATTATTTTCACTCCTCGGAGCCGGGGTGGGCAAACTATGGCACTCGAGCCAAGTTCAGCCCCAGTGACTGTTTCTGTAACACAGCCACGCCTATTCCTGTGCATATTGTCTCTGGCTGCCAAAACACTACAACAGCAGAGTGAAGTAGCTGCAACAGAGACCATTATGGCCCACAAAGCCTAATACTTATACCAGGTAGACCTTTCTAGAAAAAGTTTGCCAGCACTCACCTTTTAGCCTTTAAATATCAGAGGACAAAGAGAATAGTTAATAAGTGATGATAAAGTCTGAATTTTCTTCAAACTGAACTAATTTCCATATGTATATCTTATTTTTCAAAAGATTTAATATATTATAAACAAAAAAATTAGAAAACCACTTTTTGTAAATAACATTATATTAAGCCAGTAAAGCCTGAAAAAGATAAATGCACAAAAAAGAATTTTAAAAGCTCTCTATATCTTTGAACGATCACAATCTATAAGTTCTACAAAATTATCATTCTTCAATAAAGAAAAATCACAAAACTTGTCCCTCAAACTATCCAGTATTAGAACTAAAATGTAAATAGGAGAGGGAAACAGCTCAGGATATTAATGAAATTATTTCCCACGATTTCCAATGTGAAACTATTTATTATCAGCCCCACCTCACTACCCCCTACTTTTTCTTTTTTTAAATTAAAGTTCTCTGCCAATCCTTTGTGGAGAGCTGAGTTCTGTTTTTGAAATGCTTTTGTAAATAACTCTGCTTCATTTCGTATTTTGAATAGGCTATGTATATTCTGTTCCTAAACATCTGGTTAACTGCCAGAAAGGAAAGTGTGCAGAGTGTTTTAACAAGTAGACTTCCTCTGTTTCTCAAAGACCTTCAAATATTTAGTTTCAAAATGAATACACTGTAAGCCAAAAAATTACCACCCATTCAATTATTCTGGCATTGCTACTGTAAAGATTTACCATAAATGCTAGGAGCAGCAGACACTGTTGATGATGATGAAAGAAAGGAAGCAGTGAGTGAAGAAGGCAACCAAAAAAAAGGAAAGTGGGGAAAAGCCATTATATCCACAATAACCTATTGGGAACTGCCTTTTCCCTTCCTTTCCTTGTCTCCAGCCCTCCAAAAAAGTCATAAAATAATATTACTTACTGCTGATCCTAAGTTGTAGGATTTTAGAGATGAACTAAATTTTAGAGGTCACAAAATACAATCCCATTTATTTTATGAATGAGAAAAAGCGAGGCCCAGGAATATTAACTGGCATGCCCTGTGGATTATTAGCTAGTTAGTAGCACGACCAGGACCAGAACCCAGTTTCCTGATCATCAGTTCAACACACTTCCTATGAGACTCGGCTCCCTGCCCTGCTAAACATAACGTGCCATTTGGCACCTAACAGCTAAATTCTTTTACAAATATGCCCAAAGTACCCCTATCATAGCCAGGAAATTTACAATGCCCTTTTAAATCGTATTTATGGGCACTTGTTTTTTCCAAGTACAGACGATCAAAAACACTGCTTGGACCTCATAAGGATTAGGAGTCACAATAACGCAGTGGAATAATCAAAGAGCTAATAAGGACTTCAAGCTGTCCCTGGTATTTTGTCTTGATGGAAATCAGTTGAAATAGACACCCCTTTTTCCTACCCTCCCCCGGACACACACTCCCAAGACTAAACAGCAATATTCCATAAAAAGACCAGATCTAGCCAGTGTTATTATCTGTCTGACATTTGGGTTATTCTTGTGAGTAACTCATAAAGTAACGTGGGTGTCTGCGATTATTTGAGTACACATGGCAAACCATAATTGGTCAAAAAATAATAAAGGACATTTTTCTGTGACAAAAATACCGTATTGCATGACAACATGACAGCATGACAGTACTCAGTGGACCACAATACTTTCTTCTCCGTTTACAAAAAGTAAAAAGCAAAAATTTAAAAAGAAACAAAAAGGTTGTTTTTTTGTTTTTTGTTTTTGCAGTCAGTAACTACTGGTTCATATTTAAATTAATTTAAAGTTTTTGACTGCTGACAGTAATCTGCTAGTGTATCTTCCCCCAAATCCATGTTATGTATCAATTTATAATTCAGTCTTGTGATACAGAGCAGAAATGTGGCAAGAGATGCAAGTCTATATTTATTTCTCCAAACAGGTTTTTGACAATTTTTAGAGGTTTTGCAGAGTCTGGCTATTTTTGAAGTAACAATTTAAATTTCATCACCACCTTCCACAAGTTTGTAACATGAGTCAAATCTAACACAAATTCTCCTTATCATTAGGATGATAAAACGTGAAGCTGATCAGATCAGTGCAAGTTATACCTTCAGGTTTTAATCTAAAACCTATTCTCTTCTGTTCTGCTATATATATTCCCATCACCACAGGGCTGCATAAACGCTAAGCAACAAGAGAAAATATTCCAGTTGACATTTCTCTAGGAAATCAAAATCAGGTTTAAAGTTATGCTGAAAGTAATTTAAAAGATCTCAAAGAAAGAAGCATATCCGTACTCCTAGACAGAAACCCATTGAAGCAGAGAGCAGTGTGCATGGACGGGGTGTCTAAATGCTACAATCTCATGCAATCTCATAAAACTCTCTTCAGTAAGGACAGTTAGGGACCGTGGAGGAACTCACCCACTCGGAAGTTCGTGGCCGTCAGGGTGTCGGCGGCATGACCATTCTCACTAATGAGAGTGGTGGTGTTCCCCTTCTCACAGCTGTTCTGACAGCTGCCCTTGGTGCAGGTCACTCTACAGATGCTCGGAGTAAAGACCACCTTGATGCGGCCAGTGTGGTTACTCACTAGGAGTGGAGGCAGGGAGAAAAAGAACAACAAACACATCAGCTTAGTATCCATGAACTTGCCTTGGAAGGTTTAAGAAAAAAAAAAAAAAAGAAAGAAAGAAAAGAAAAGAAAAGGCACAAGAAGGGGAAAGAGAGAGCCCACAACCCGACAGGTTTAAGGAAAGAGGGAAGCCTTTAGTGCTCGCTGCTCTGTATCCAGTGGTGTCTCTGAAACAGGAGTAGGAAGCTTAGCAAACAGAACTCTGGGATGCACTCCAAAACCACATTTGAAGTCGAGTCACTGGAGTGGGATTACTAACCACAATGCTGCACTTTCTTCACGGGCAGACAAAGAGCAATACCGAGGGCACGACAGATTAAAGAGCCAACCCTGACAGGCAGATGTAATGCACAGAGGTTGGCCATGCACCTAGTGGTGAATAAACTCTTGTGTCCTCAACTTGCATACTTTCCCTGTTTCTCCACTTATTAAGTCACTATTTGCAGCCCGACCCCTGGAAATGTTTTAGGCATGCGGCATGTCTGAAAACATCTGTCTCAAATCTCCTGGCACTCTCCGCTGAAGTGATCAAATCCTGTGACGCAGCTACGGGAGCCCATTTCTTTTTCACAACTCTGGGGCACTATTTCTCCATATTAATTTATGCAACGTATTATTTTGTTTTATTATGAATTGGGCCCATCTAAGAAAAAGGCAGGCCAGGTCACAGGGGTAAGGGGTGCCTCCCTTGAAATACCATCCTTGAGCTCCGGCTGTTGCTATTCATAGAGCACCTGGAACAGGTATTTCTTTCATTCACGTGGCTCTCTCTTAAAAACCAAATGCTATAATATAATCTGAGTGCACAGCCGAGTATCAAAAAACTGGGAACTAGACTAACAGCAGATTCTGGCTTGTGATCCTGGCTCGATCATAGTATGACTTTGGACATGTCATTTCACCTTTTTTCCAAAACGTGAGAGAACTAGAGCTGACATTGTCTAGCTGGTTCTAACTTTCAATGTCTAAACAGGGGCCAGTGAGCTATAGCCCAGGGGCCAAATCCAGCCTTTTGCCTGTTTTGTAAATAAAGTTTTTACTCATTTATTTCTGTATTGCCTATGGCTGCTTTGATGCTGTGACAGTGCAGTTGCACAGAGACAACTGGCCTCACCCAGACCTGCCCTTCACTGTCATTCTAAACTCTCTGGCAAAATGTGATACAGAGGCCAGGCACTATGGCTCATGCCTATGATCCTAGCACTCTGGGATGCCAGGGTAAGAGGATTGCTTGAGCTCGAGAGTTCAAGACCAGCCTGAGCAAGAGCAAGAGCAAGACCCTGTCTCTACTAAAAATAGAAAAATTAGCCAGGTGTGGTGGTGAGTGCCTGTAGTCCCAGCTACTCTCGAGCCTGAGGCAGGAGAATTATTTGAGGCTGCAGTGAGCTATGATGACACTACTGCACTCTAGCCAGGGTGACAGAGTGAGACTCCATCTCCTCCCACCACGACAAAAAAATTGCAATACAGAAACGCTTTTTGACTTCTACATCTGTGATATGACTCCAGCCAGGTCCTTCTTCTTTCCAGGAGACTAGGCAGAAAGCAAAGATGGTAGCAGTAGCTGAAGAGAGATGGTTCATCTAGGAGACTTTACAGCTGGTAAGAAGCAGTGACCTTCTGCTGTCTCCACATAACTAAAAGGGGAGATTGGCTGTGGGTCAGCCTTTCTGCTGCCTTCTCTATCCACCAGATAAGCTTCTCCCCCTTTATACCACTTTGGTTTGGCCAGTATTATACTTTCAGAAAATCATCCAAGATGCCTCTATAGACCAAATCAAACTGTGGCCAAAATCTGAGCTTGGAAACAAACAACTTTAATCAAAGAAGCTATCAGGATTTCAAGGTTGGAATGGGGCCTCGGAAGTTTTCTGATACAACCATCTCTTATCCGTTGCTTGCATTCCATGTATCAAGTGGTCACCTTGACCTTATTTGAACATCTCTTGTGACAGGGAGCTCATTACCCACAAAGCACATTCTAGGTGTAGACAGTCCCTAGAAAGCGCTATTCTTTCTTAAGTTGAAATACAGTTTCACAGTAACTTGCACCCATTAATCCTAATTTCGTTCACCGTGATTCAGTTCACCATGTCATCCTCCACATGACAGCCCTTCAAAGACTCAAGGATAACTGCCACAAAATCAAAGAAAGCTAAAATTAGAAGGACTTGAAGTCATCAGCTGAGCTGGCCCCCTCACTTACCAGAAGAAAAAATGCTTCCTCAGGAGGAAGAAGCCCTCCATTCTTTTCAAATGTTTTCCCAAGAAAGTTTCCCCTTTGCCAGCGATCCTAACACTGGAACATTGGGACAGGCTGTCTGAGGTGGGAAGACATCCTAGTGGCTAATCGGGCCTCCTGGCACCTTGCAAAATGGCACCCGATAGGAAGCTATTGATGCTTTATATCAATGGCTGGCAAACGTTTTTTTCTACCAAGAGATACACAGCAAATAATTTAAGGTTGCAGGCCAAAAGAACTCTGTTGCAACTATTCAATTCCATTGCAGTAGCTAAGAAGCAGCCTGTCAAAAACAATATGTAAACGAATGGGTGTGGCCATGTTCCAATCAAACTTTAAAGAATCAGAGTTTGCTGATCACTGCTTTAAATGCTTACATGACACTCTAAAATTATCTAGGAGTTTACCTCAGAAATTAAAAAAAATAATAATAACAAGATGGAATGGTGATTCCACCATCAGTGCAAAAATCCACCTAGTTTGGTTTGTTTTTTTACAACACATCAGCTTATACCCTAAATTGTCAGACTATGCTTATAAATACCTTGAGGATACTTTGTGTGTGCAAGTGTGTGAAGCCCAAGGAAAAAAAGAGACAACATCTTCCCACTTCAAAAGAATATAAACTTCTGTTTTTTCTGGCTCCTGGTACCATAATGAAATTAGAAACGGTGTGCCAACTATTTTGTCTCCTCTGGCGTTAACTTGCAGCACCAGCAGCTGCCATGCAGATGCTCATGCAGTCACCTAAATTACGCTCACTTAGGCAAACCGAGACATCCAAAGCAAGCAAGCACTTAATCATCATTCCCATTTCACCTCCCAGCTACAGTAGTCACTTTATAGGCACTGGAGATTCTCAGAGCCTATTGTTTTTAAAAACTTCTTATATTTCTTTGCCAAAAGAATTTTTTTTTTTTTGGCCTGGAATCCTCTGGATTTTCAAAAGGCAGAGACAGTTTCATATGACTTAATTCTGATTTTTACAATCTTTTTCACATCTTTTTGGAAGCAGAAGATACACTTTATTTCATATAAAAATAAAAACGTGTGTGTTTTACAAGCATTTGGCTATAAAGTAATCTAATTCTAAAACAGACACTTGTATTCCCAGGTCCTCTCATCTCTTCAGGAAGCATTCATTTCCTCATTACTATTAGCTTTAGGTTTTCATGTCAATCTTCTCAAAATTGGTAGCAAAAACTCACAACTGCTTTTGACATTAAACTATCCTTCAGATCTCTAATAAGTTTCTCCCTAAATATTGAATGGATTAGAAAATACATTCTCCCATCCCTACTTTTCAAAAGTTATTCCCACATATCTAGGGTATAGAGAGTTTATGTCTTAAAATACACAAAACAAAGGTCCAACTCTCTGCTCTGAGCTTCAAATTCCTCATGTGATAAACTGAAGACAATACCACTCACCTTTCAAGAATTTGGTAGGAATTTACTAACTGTGGACTTGAACTCTCCTCCATAGGCCATTTGGTATATATATCAGAGGCATCTTCCCTGAATGCCTTGAATAAGCTAATACTGAGGAACCCTGGTGTCTTACATAGAGTAGGTACCCAACAAATGTGGGATAAATGAGGTGACCTGAAGTTGTCCATGGAACAAGGATGACTGCTGAACCCCACAGAGATCCAGGACTTACAGGATGCTGGAAGACATTCTGGTCTAAGGCCTCGCTTCACCAGTGCGGAGACAAGCTCAGGACTAACCAGTGGTAGACCACCCCCAGCGGCTCACTAGGAATTAACCACGAATTATAAATCTGAGAAGCAAAAGTTAGGCCAGTCAGGAGTTAACAGGGAAACCACTGGCACAGTTTCCCTGCTTGGTCCCTCTGAGGAAAAAAAAAATGTAATTTTTAGATCCCTGTAGATAAATCAGCCCCAGCAATCTTAAGCAAGCACTTTAAAACCATGCGTTTTAGAGGCGGCTAGAGGCGCACATTGCCTGGAGCCATGTAGCACCTCCACTGGGCCTCCCAGTCGGTCAGTCAAGGCACTCAAGAGGCAACATCCTGTCTGCAGCTTCTGCCAGGCCCTGTGCAAAGTCATACCTCCAAGAACAGGCAACTGGCACATGGCTTAAAACAAACCACAGATATTCAGAGTGAATGGCAAATGGGATGGAAGTGAAACCGACGCTCCTCCCCCCAAGATAAAAAGCTTTCATTTCTGCTTCACAATCATTAATGATAGGGGAAAAATACAAAAATGGGAAAATTGTTCTGGACAAATGGGCTTCAGTCTAGAAAAGAGGACAGTTGCCATCTTTCAGTCATTAGAGTAGGACGTGACCAAAAGCAAAGACAGCCAAAGAAATAAATAAAACAAGTTCAAGACTCACATCAGATGTCATGAGCAAATACTGTCTCCTCAGCATTCGTCCAGAATGCTGTGACAGCACATTAGCACTTGTCCAACTTAAACAACAGGGACCAACTTGCACAGGCAATCTCCTCTGGGAAGAAGCAGCCTCTCTGTGGCTCAAAGTCACCACCCTGTTTAAAGAGACCTACAGGCTGATTCAATACACAGGTCACGTGTACTGTCTTCTGGGTGTGAGAGAAACTGAGCTAACAGCAGACCATTGCCTGCCCGAAAGCCAAGAATTCTTTGAAGGACAAATCATAAAAGCATTCAATAATGCTTAGAACAACAGGCCTTTATTGTTCAGCTCCCTGGGCTTGCTGAACTCC